TGGATGTGTCTCGGAGCCAATGTTGGACGAGGAGTGAACTTTTCTCGAAAATCAACATTTATTCACACCAATTTGAATGTTGTAGGCTTCGACCCCAAATTGTATGACATACAAAGGAGGTGACAGTATTTGTTCATATCAGCTACAGGACTTTATCGGCTATACTAAATTATCAACCTAGAGATGTCATTGTCTCAGCAAAAGATGACATTTCATGATCATCACCATAACACGATATATCATCACACACACGACACACTCACACACACACACATACACACACGACACATACCTCCATGACACACCACACACAGACACACACACACAGGCACGACTACACAGTCCAACCGAAATAGTCAGTACATACAGAATGAAATTTCTGCAGGAGAGGACGGACTAAAGGTCCAATATAAAGGTCATAGCTTTCACAGAGATGGACAATTTCTCAGGAGAGGAGACTTACGTCCGCTCGTCCTCCTGGAACGAGTCAGAGTTTGATGAGCCCTCCCTCTTCTTCCTGCTCAGACACAGCCAGCTCCACTCTGTGTTTCCTGGCTCCTCCCCTTCAGATCCACACGAGGAGGAGGGGTGTAACCAACACGTGGGTAAAGCACAAGAGCTGATAGGCCACATTCACTGCTCACACACACATGCTGTTCAGATCACAGTCACACTAGTTTCAGGAAGTACTCAGGAAGTGAAACTCACACACTCGCTGCTACTGAGAGGTGAAATGGCGCAGAAAGGAGTTCAGCTGGACCGGGAAACCTTCTCTTGTTCCATCTGTCTGGATCTACTGAAGGATCCGGTGACTATTCCCTGTGGACACAGCTACTGCATGAAGTGTATTAAACAGCACTGGGATGGAGAGCTAATCCACAGCTGCCCTCAGTGCAGGCAGAGCTTCACACCGAGGCCTGTCCTGCTGAAAAACACCATGTTAGCAGCTTTGGTGGAGGAGCTGAAGAAGACTGGACCCCCACCTGCTCCTGCTGATCTCTGCTATGCTGGAGCTGGAGATGTGGCCTGTGATGTCTGCACTGGGAGGAAACTGAGAGCCTGTAAGTCCTGCCTCGTGTGTCTGGCCTCTTACTGTGACCAACACCTCCAGCCTCATTATGAATCACCTGTCTTTAAGAAACACAAGCTGGTGGAGCCCTCCAAGAAGCTCCAGGAGAACATCTGCTCTCGTCACGACGAGGTGATGAAGCTGTTCTGCCGCACTGATCAGCAGAGTATCTGTTCTCTCTGCATGACTTCCATCACTCAAGGGCCTGTCGAAGTCCTCGTCGCCATGTCGAGTCCTCTGTTGGGTGCTTTGACGACGTTTTCTGATGTCTAAGACGGAAGTCAGCGACTGTGGTAAGTGAACAGAGAGGACTACCATAGACTCGACGACGAAAGTGTAGCTCTTTCGAAAACCTTACTCTGACCTAGTCGAGTCTACCATGTAGAAGGAGTATACTGACGACAATAGTCGTCTCTGTAACTGCCGGAGGTGGAGGACCGACTTCGTCGAAGTTGAGGAAGAGAGGCAGGACCCTAAGACGACCTACACAATCAGCTGAGGGGAGTCGAGAGAGACGGAGAGCAGGAGAGGACGTGTCGTCTGTGCCACAGCACGCGCATCGCAGTGGAATAAACACGCAATCGAC